AGAGAATATTCAGTCTCGAGTATATGCCGTAACGGATTCCATTTGGCGTAAAAGACAAACTAGCGGTGACAATTATATGAATGGACCACTGAAAATCAGTGATGTGAGGTGAGGTGAGGTGAAATTGGGTTCAACGTCGCGTCCAAGATTATTGCACTTATATAAGCGACGTGCATGCACGTGTATGTGTGTGTGTGGCTGCTTGTACTAGTCCGGACTGATGCCGATTTATAGTGCTAGCTCACTGAGATACCATGCCGCAGTTTAACCCACTCAGACACAGTATACTGACTCCGAGCCGACCAGTCCTTGTTTTAGCCCCTTAATGCCGAGCGCCAGACAGGGTAACAACAAGTACAATCTTTTAACGTCTTTTTGTATGACGCGGCCCGGGATCGAACCCTGGACCTTCCGCTCTCCGGGCGGACGCTCTACCACAAGACCACGGAGGCGGTCCGAAAATCAGTGATGACGCCTGGTGTTTGCGAAAAGGTGAAGCATGTCCTGTCCCACCACAACGTGCATGAATCTGTACGTGTTTGTTTGCTGCCTGGCGCCACACTGCAGTACAAGCACACACATGTCAATCTTAAATTTTCAAGACCGCATCCGTGGTCTAGTGGTAGAGCGTCCGCCCGGAGAGCGGAAGGTCCGGGATTCGATCCCCAGCCGCGTCATACCAAAAGACGTTAAAAGATGGTACTTGTTGTTACCCTGTCTGGCGCTCGGCATTAAGGGGCTAAAACAAGGACTGGTCGGCTCGGAGTCAGTATACTATGTCTCAGTGGGGTATTCATGTTAAACTGCGGCATGGTATCTCAGTGAGCTAGCACTATAAATCGGCATCAGTCCGTTCTAGTACAAGCAGCCACACACACAAACACACACGTACATGCACGTCGCTATATAAGTGCAATAATCTTGGACGCGACGTTAAACCCAATTTCACCTCACCTCACTTAAATTTTCAAAGATTGATTTGCCGTGAGGCAGGTTTATCAATAAGTACATGTACCTTCTCATTATCATCCTCTTCAACATTAACTGTTCTTGAATGACTGCCCCCATTGGTCAATATTCTCTGTCAACGGAGCTCGTTGTTATATTTGCTATTCAAATCAAAAGTTTGCCTATTTAACAGAAGATATTTCGCGTTGGATACGTGGTAAATATTTGACCCTGAAATATTCGTTTCTATTGACACTATAATCTCATTTATCTCTCAGCTACAGATGACGGTTTATTTGCCTTGGCTGTGATGTTCGAGTGCTGGGGATGCTTCACATGGAATATTTATTTATTCATTACAATACATAGAGAATCTCACCTGAGTGTCTTAAAAAATAAATCGGTATCAAGAGGTGTTGATATAGACGGTTCTTGATAGATTTTAACGAAAAAGATTAACTGTGCTTCAAATAAAGTTCAAGCACAAAAATATTATTTAATGCATCTTTCAATATATATTAAAGAGGACTTCAAGGTCTCGATTCACAATTTGCAATTGCATGTTAGTGCACAATTCCTATGTTTGTGTGCCACTAGGGAGCATGTTACTCCTTTTTTAAATGTGAACAGCATACACTGATTGCTTAAGAGTCAGGTGCTCATGAAAAACACTGTTCTTCAACCGTTAACCGCTGATAACACGCATTTCCGGGGCTTGATGAAATGGCGCAAAACGATATTGCCAGCCATTGAGATGTTCATCGAAATCATCCAATCCAAGTATTGCGTGGCATCACAACTCGTCGGTCATTTGTTAATGGCAATCTTTTGTTGTCATTTGGAACAAAAGTGCCCAAGGTGTTTTCAATCATCTTGTGTTTTCAATGTGCCGCCGCTTCTTCGCCTGTATCAACGCAAATGGTGGTCAAACCCGATATTGACATTGTTAATTGAGCTGTTAGACAACCCCTCATTTAGGGCGTGTCGCTCTGTCCCCCGTTGCAAGGTATGGGTTTTGTCAATGAAATTGTGAGGATAAGACTTAGGCCCATGGATTCATAGATTTGTGAAGGAAACCTTTCGAAATGATAGATTATCTATTACAATGAACACATGAATTATCGCTTGTCTCCCCGAACCAAATAAAGACAGAAAATTATTAAAAAATTGGCGTCCACTAATATTGTTAAATTCCATTCATGTAAGTACGTGTATTGCAAATAGACTAAAAACAATATTAAATACAATTATACATGACAACCAAACAGGCCTTATTCCTGGAAGATGTATAACTGAAAATATAAGAATACTCTATGATATTATCTTTGAAACTAGAAGGTTAAACAGGCCAGGTCTGGTGTTATTAATTGATTTTGAAAATGCAGTTTTGACGGTCTCAAATCAATTTATTAAACGGTATTAGAAAAAATTGGAATTGGACCAAATATCATTAAATGGATACAGATAATAACTAATAAAATAAATGCATCAGCATCTGTTATACAAAATGGGCATCTTTCGTCCTTTTTTATATTAGAAATTGGATGTAGACAGGGAGACCCGATATCTCCCTGTCTTTTCCTATTTGTAGTCGAAACATCAGATATAATGATCAGGGATAATTCTGACATAACGGGCATTTCACTAAATAACCTAGATCACAAATTATGACAATATGCCGACGATACTCAACTCATTCTGGGTTGATCTGAAAATAGCCTAAATGCTGCTAAAGAAACATTAAATAATTTCTTTGAAATGTCTCGCCTTAAAATGAATGTATAGATAAGACTAAAGCAATCTTGATAGGTGCAGTGTCTGGAAATAATATAACTTTAGGTAATGATTTAAAAACTAGACCGGCACAAAGGAGATTTTGAAATCTTGGGTATAAAACTATTAAAACCCCAGTTTAAAAGACCTATGGGTGCTCAATACAAAGAAACGATTAGATATCATAAACAGAAATTTAACACTAATAGGAAAAATCACAGTTATAAAAACTTTCGCTGTCTTTACCCATGTGTTCTATGCACTAACCCACCAAAATCGTTTATTCCTGAAATCAAAAGAATTTTTTAAATAAATTTATTGGGAATCATTCCCATAAGACACATAGTCTCACTTGGCTCTAATATTGGTGACTGCTTCTATCATATGGCCAATCCTTATTGGGGAGATGTTTTGACTGCATGAGGCATATTTTTGATAATGATGATATAGATCTAGACCAAACACTCTGGATAAATCATTATTTTGATTGTTCAAACATCATAATGCATTAGTTTTATGAAGGTGTCCACTTTATAAGATATATTTGTAATGGAAATGGTATTCTAAATTTTGAACATTTTAGTGAGTGAGTGAGTGAGTTGGGTTTAACGCCGCTTTTAACAGTATTCCAGTTATATCACGGCGTGTCAGCTTAATGTGGGAGGAAAGCCTGAAGTGATGCAGGACGTTAACCACGTTAACCACTTCGGCGAAACCCACGAGCACGGGTATGGTGCTGACAAACCTAGAAAATAATCGGGGCGAAACTGGATTCGAACCCACAATCATAGGTTTCTGGCGTGCCCAAGGGACGCAACTCTGCACAGCGAATCGCGGCGCCTTATACGACTGGGCCGCCCGTGAGCCCTTGAACATTTTAAGAGTAGATACAAAATAGAAGGAACTATCAAAAGCTGTAAACCAATATTTCTAAAGCTTGGAAAATTGTCATTACTAACTTAAGTCAACTAAGCATCAACAATGTTTTTTCTGACATTCTTTCAGGTAAAAAGGGATCCAGGATCTTTTATTACAAAATTATTAAGATTAAAGCATCAAAGTATTAGAATCTTGGAATGGTATATTTAATTATCCTACTAATTGGAAAGTGTTTTTTTCTTACTACAGAGCCTAGTGGTTAAAGCGTTCGCTCGTCACGCCGAAGACCCGGGTTCGATTCCCGACATGGGCACTATGCGTGAAGCCGATTTCTGGTGTCCCCCGCCGTGATATTGCTTGAATATTTATAATATAAAAGCGGCGTAAAACCTTACTCACTCACTCACTCTTTCAATAGTGATGAAACGTTCATAAAATATTTTTTTCAATGGATAATCACTTTCTACTTCTAACAACGCATGCATACCTTCCATTAATAGTTTTTGACTATGTCTTCTACCCCAATTTAAATGTACTTGCTCAGTGTATATATTTGTTAACATGTACTTGGAAATGGAATAAAAAAAAAATTTAAATAAAAATATTTTGTTAATTTTAGTAACATAACATTTACACCACTTTTTACAGTTACTTTGTTACCGTTAGTATATATTTACTACGCGATGCTTCTTAAGAGAAATATATTATCGCACTGATTACATTCATTGCAACAAACATATAGCGGTGGACCATATTATTGTATATGGGCCTATGGCTCATTCCAGTTTAATAATAGCTTGAGTGAACACCACTTAACATTGGAACACCCAATACCAAAATGTTATTCGGAGTAAATTGCCTTTATTCATTTCTGCATAAAAGACTTTATGTTCAATAATTATTCATTCGAGTCATGTCCGGGAAGATTTAACACATACATTGTACATAACCAAATACAAATACATCCTCCCCCTCTCCTCCTCACCCCTGAATTTGCCAGCATGAGAGAGCTGAACTTTGGCATGAAGGTGGTGAGGTTACATGGGTATAACCGTCGCGACCAAGATTATTGCACGTATGTAGCAACGTATAATATTCCAGCTATATGACGGCGCTGTGTAGTGAGTGAGTGAGTGAGTGAGTATGGTTTAACGCCGCTTTTAGCAATATTCCAGCAACATCACGGCGGGGGACACCAGAAATGGTGCTTCGCATATTGTACCCATGTCTGGAATCGAACCGGGGTCTTCGGCGTAACGAGTGAACGCTTTAACCACTAGGCTACCCGTTGGCGGTCTGTAAATAATCGAGTCTGGATCAGACAATCCAGTGTTTAACATCATGAGCATCAATCCTCGCAATTTGGATCGATGACATGCATCAACCAAGTCAGTGAGTCTGACCACCCGAACCCGTTAGTCGCCTCTTACGAAAGGCATAGTCGCCTTTTACGGCAAGCATGGGTTGCTGAAGACCTATTCTACCCCGGATCTTGACGGGTCTTTCATTTTCAAGTACAAGAACCTGACATTACATGTATTCACAATGTGCACGTTAACAGCCAGTATAACACGTAAACAAAGTTATAAGCCCGAGGGCAGGGCTCATCATATTGCAGTAAATGACACTCCGAACGCTAAATGACGAGCCTCCAAGATCACTTGAATTCTCAATCTCAAAATTCCGAACTATCGACAGCTCACTTAACATGTTGTTTCACTTGTGACAACATGAGCACACTGTCACCAGAAAATCGGAATCAATGTTTGTTGTCAAAAGATTCAATGTTATGGTTTGTAGGACCCGTCCCCGTCCCCGTCGTGTGTTCTGTGAGCGGAAACAACATCAAAGGACGCGTCCTTTGCCCAATCAAGTTCTGTCCCTTTACCAAACACCACAAACACGCATCCGCTGACAATGTTTAAGCCCCCTATGATCCAGAAAAGTATTTGCCATTCCTCTCTGGTTCCCTGAAGATAAAGAAAAGAATCTCATCAGACACTTGTGTACATGTGTCTTTCAAATTTCTAAAAATACAAGGAAATACTATATCATTATCAGCCACCGTCTGGCGCTCGGCATTTAGGGGCTAAAACAAGGACTGGTCGGCTCGGAGTCAGTATACTGTGTCTGATTGGGGTATTCATGTTAAACTGCGGCATGGTATCTCAGTGTGCTAGCACTATAAATCGGCATCAGTCCTATCAGTTACCGTATTCCTCGTAATAAGCGCCCAGAGCGCTTTCTTATTAGAATATAATTTTTGTGAAAGGGTTGAAAGATCGTAAATTTCGTGGTTTATGCTGACAGCCAGACATGATACAAAAGAAAAGTCTGTGCGTATTATACACGACAGATATATTTTTCAAGAATTTAATCGCCAATAATTAAGGGTGCATATACCACACGAGTGCGTATTATACACGAATAAATAAGTCTTCGGAATCAGTCGGAAGGGTGCTAATTGGGATTGATCACGAGACAATATATCAGCAAATATCGCCGTGGGCGCTTATTAGAGCGGGGCGCATATTACGTCGAATACGGTAGTCGTTTTATTCAAACATCCATCTACAATGACACCCGGGTTAGAATTTGTCTTCAGCAATCCATGCTTTTCGTTGGATCGGGTGGTCAGGCTCGCATGTCATTGATTCCCAATTGCGTAGGTCGATGCTCAAGATGTCAATCACTGACTTGTCGTCTTTTCCAGACTCTGCTATTTACCGGTCGCCGCCACACAGCTGGGATATTGCTGGGTGTGGTGTCAAACAACAAACAAACAAACAAACAAACAAACAGTCATGACTCGCACCAAGGAAGACTCATACAAACCTGTTTTATCACGTACGACGTAATGAGAGGTGCAGACAGAGAGGCGACCATTGCGCAAGTCACGGTAATACCCATCAACACGCCGGCGAACCTGTAATGTTAGCAGAAAAGGAAATGGAACTTTCAAATTTCTCACAATGTCTCAGTCAGTAAGGCTGCACCGATCCTGCCAACTGAGATACGCTTCTATGTGGGTTGTTGCTGTGCAAATGAGTGAGTGAGTGAGTGAAAAAGGTTCAAGGACGCTTGTAACATTATTCCAGTTATATCACGGCGTTTCAGCTTAATGTGGGAGGAAAGCCCGAAGTGATGCAGGTCCCAGACGTTTACCACTTCGGTGAAACCCACGAGCACGGGTATGGTGCTGACGAACCTAGAAACATAATCGGGCCCAACCGGGATTCGAACCAACGGCTGTGCAAGTGTTTGATTGTGTGTAACTGTGGGCCAAGGAAGGTAGTGGGTAGGGGTCGGTGGTTGTAGATGTGCATGGTTCCACACATTGTACCCATGTAGGGAATCGAACCCGGGCTTTCGGCGTGACGAGCGAACACGTTACCCACCGGGCAACCCCCGTCCTGGAAGTGTTCTATGTGATTGAGTATACTACGTACACGTGTAACAATATAACTAAATCATTTGGGTACCAACTTTCAACAAATTCACACCATCACTGACGGCATAGCTCATAATCACAAAATGCGACCCTCCTTTTCCAAAATCCACGCTTGATTTGTATCCATGTAATTTGATCTTAGCATTAATGAAGCCATGTCACTGCTGATATTCTATCATTTTGGCCTTCATGGTTGTCTGACCGTATCAGTTGAACGTGTATGGCAGTTCCTAATGGGAGAGGTCTCATTGTTGCTGGTATGCTCGTCTTATACCGTTACTTCGAGATTCAATTCAGATCGGGGACTCTCCGTGTTCCCCCAGTACACTTCCGGAACCTTTAAGGATAACACTTGATTTTAATTCTATAAGGTTACCGCAGCAGGTTTAAACCGCTAAAAGATGGGAATTAGGTTCATGTAACAGACTGTATTTGAAAACGAGTTGCACAGTTCCAATAAATAAATGATCGGTCCGTGAAGTGATCGATACCAACCTTGGCGCTATATCGAGGTGATTGATTCTGAAGGCGACAGATGCACAGTTTTGCAGTGATATACCAAGAATCAGCAGAGTCACAGCCAGAGTCCCGTTCTCATGGTCCAAAAACCCGACAGGAATAATGCACACAGCGCATCCAACACAGCCTGGAATTGATATCAACATTTCAAATCAGTCCCAGATGGATGATAATAATTCTGATCAATTCTAAGACCTCTAAACTCTGCGAATCAGCTATCTACACGGTTAAATCAGAATGGATGATGATATGCACTACATACACTGGTAGCGGCCACAAGCCGTCCCTGCTCCTATTCCGTTTTCGCTTTGCTAGTTTGTTAATGCCGCACTCAGCAATATTCCAGCTACAAGAGATACCAGAAGAAGAGAATACACCCCAACAGACAGCTACTGCCATTGGAAACTGCAGCACAAGCCAACCAGTATTCATAACTACAGTAAACTACGGTTATAACGAACACGCTTATAACGAACTGACGGATATAACGAACTTACTTTTTTGTCCCGACTATTTGCTGTAGTTATGCTCTATATATGCATATAACGAACCACGGCTACAACGAACTAAAACTAGTGGTCACTTTGAGTTCGTTATAACCGTAGTTTACTGTACATTAACTGGTAATATTCGGTTAATGGTTTATATTTTTATAATCATTATAAATACATATAAATAACCGGAAAGTGCCGAGGTAAAATAACTTTTATCATAATATTGGTTAAGGTTTCAAATTGCATATTTGAACTCCTGTGACTTGATCAACAGGAATCAATTGAAAATATCTGCCTTTGCCATTCATTATTCCTTCTAACCCATGGGACCGTCTCCGTGGTCTAGTGGTAGAGCGTCCGCCCGGAGAGCGGAAGGTCCGGGGTTCGATCCCCGAAAGCGTCATACCAAATGACGTTAAAAGATGGTACTTGTTGTTACCCTGTCTGGCGCTCGGCATTGAGGGGGTAAAACAAGGACTGGTCGGCTCGGAGTCAGTATACTGTGTCTGAGTGGGGTATTCATGTTAAACTGCGGCATGGTATCTCAGTGAGCTAGCACTATAAATCGGCATCAGTCCGGACTAGTACAAGCAGCCACACAAACACACACACGTACATGCACGTCGCTATATAAGTGCAATAATCTTGGACGCGACGTTAAACCAAATTTCACCTCACCTCTAACCTATGGGGATTCCAGATATAAATACAGGGTCTCAGCAGTCTATGCTGGTCGTAAGAGGAGACAAAATGGATCGGGTGGTGAGGATCAATGACTTGGTTGATTGCATGCCACCTAATCCCACCTGGATCGTGATATGAATCACTAGGTTGTGTCATCCAGGCTCGATTATTTACAGACCGTCATATAGCTTGACTATTGTAGGTGCGGCGTTAAACTAAAATAAACAACAACATAAAGGAACAAAACATTTTTACACAATCAAAAAATCCAGCGAGTCCAGTAACATATGGAAAACAAATATCAGCATTTTCGGGAACAGATTATTTTGTAAAGCCCATAATATTAAATGTTCGAAGGAACTGATAAATATGACAAAGACTGAAACAAAACGGAATGGTGAACATTAATCATCCACTCAACATACATTCTGAGTAAGATATAAATGCAAATGTCTTAACCATCAAATATGATAATTCCATAAAATACAATTACAACTCGTCATAACAGCTCGATGATAACAATAAATGTGTGTATGGTTATATGTTCGAGACAGTACAGAAGGCACCGTGACTATGTAACCATCACACATATTAAACATGGGACCCATGACCGTTAAGTGTTATCAAACTAAAATGTATGTAATATTAACTATTGGCTACAATGTATATGTATGCTATACTTGCCATGTCAAACGTAGGTATGCTTGCCACAACACTTGCCACAACACTTCTACATGTCCTCTATATACTCACAGCCATATATTGTCATAAAATGATGTAACTGATTTCTGAAAAGCCAGGCATTGTTATGTGACAGTAGAAACTGTTGTAAGGTGTATTTCTGCAGAATATTGATGCACTCATAAAACGTCAAGCCCTGTTGTGGCCACTTTACAGTTTTGAGGTTGTTGTTTTTGTATTTTCCAAATAATTATCAAATGATAGGTGCCTTGCTCTTACATTTTCATTCCAATGCATCTGGTCACTGACATTACCATGACGACGGTAACCTGCTACTGTTAAGTGCCAGTAAAATAAATTAAAATAATTTTAACCTAAGCTTCAGGCATATCGATGATCTGATATGGTTCAATACATGTCAACCTCAGCTAAATGTAAAAGCGCCCAGTGAGACCGCCTGAACTCAAAGGTTGTTTGATCAACATCATTCAAGGCCTTAGCTAATATAAATGTCAATGCAAGAGAATAACAAGTCTAGGTTATCCGCCGAAACAGACTCCATTTGGCGTATATGGCATAAATAGCTGTGGAAATTATATGAAGAGACCACTGAACATCAGATGGCACCAGGAGTTCTCGAAAAGGGCACGGATGTCCTGCTGCACAAGTAGCTGCCGCCACTCACACAAGTAAGCTTCCCAAAGATTTTCGGGTAGTTCCAAAATTTTGGCATTTCCAAATTTAACGCATTAGTGGCAAAAGCATGTCCGATGCAATTCCCTATATTGACCACATGTTCCGCGTTTTTTAGGTTAAGACTTGATGCGCCTTTGCATGTGTTTGTGACGGGAACCTACTCGGTGATATACGCAGCTCACCCAGTATCATCACTATTTGATAATGATTCATAAACATAAATTTATGATAAAGTCGGAATCTTTCTGTATGACTGATTTCTTATGATTATGGAAAGAGTTATTAATTATATGTGAGATATCTTAAATGTAGACAACAAACAAAATTTTCCCACTGATGTCACCATGACGTACCCATAAGCTGGAACGTCTTCCTTGCATTGGTTGTCGACAGAAGTCTCCTGGAGAGAACCCAGTCAATGATAAAGGCTGAAGCCAGGCCAACCAATAATCTTCCAGCAAACGGCGCCGAAGACCATACACCATCCTGCAAAAGGGGATATATGAATACAAAATAAATATAAATAATATAATTGCGGTTTTTCGTTTAACTTTTCTATAACATCTATGTAATCAAAGTTAATAATAGGTGTAACAACAACAATAATAACAATGATACTACTACTACTACTATTAATAATAATAATAATAATAATAATAATAATAATAATAATAATAATAATAATATTATTAATAATAACAATCATCATCATTTGCAATCTCATTAAAATCAGATCTTTGTGGAGCGGCAGCGAGAATTATTTGCTGCCAGGAATACAGTCATTCTGACAATCTGGGTAATGCAGAAGCCGGAAGTGTTTGGGAATCTCACTGTGCCAGGATCACCCATGGCCCAGCCCTCTTTTCTGCATTTATTTACTTTATTGTGTATAATAATCATCAGCATCATCAGCTGTAGCTGCAGCATCATCATCACCTGTTCGATGCCATATTTTAGTATTTGTTTCATATACTTGGGGAGGTAGGCCATCACCCATGATGTCAGCCAAGAGTGGCAGATGTGTGCTATTAGGATAGCCCAGAACGCCGGAGATGTGAAAATCTTGCCCCACGGCGGCCGCGGCATCTGCAACATGAACTCTGCTTTCAATAAGGAAATGGTTCACTTGATTATAGATATAAACGTATTGTTACACAAATGTTCAAGACTGTACCAATATACAACACAGGTAGTATTATTATCATTATGGAAAACTGTTTCTTTTGTAGAGAGTCAGTATGGTTTTACCCTGCTTTTAGCAATATTCCAGCAATATCACGGCGGGGGACACCAGAAATAGGCTTCACACATTGTACCTATGTCGGGAATCGAACCCGGGTCTTCGGCGTGACGAGCGAACGCTTTAACCACTAGGCTACCCGACCGCCCCTGTTTCTTTGTAACAGTTACAGTAGTCAGAGTGGCGACAGTAGAGCCACTGTAGCAAGCATAGGCGTGGTTAGGCTCGGGAAGTCAGTTTAACAGGTTGTTAAAGACAGATTCTCTCGAGTAAAATAACACATGCAGTATATATTTATCATTATACTGATATTGATTTGAAATGTTCACTTAAATGAAGTAGTATCATCTTACATCGTTAAATATATCATTATGATTACATAATTATTCTTTACCCTTCATGTCGAGCATATACCATCAGCTCCAGCGAATGGGGTATACGTTTCTCAATTCCTAAGGTACTTTAGACCATGCACGTTTTATTCAAATGGAAAGACATTTTGCTTACAGCAAATCTTTCTTATCACAGTTTTACAATCAATGTTTATTAAATCATTCAATAATGTTTTGGTTGACATTCACAGAAATTTGCTATGGCCTTAACATGTTTTTTTTTAAACCTGTTTACTCACTGTCATTTATTTTTGTTTTGGAAATTGTGGCGGATGCTAACTTCGGAAAAAGCTTAACCTGCCGTGGCGTCATCAATGGTTTTCTGTGATAATTCATAAAAAGGTTTTCAATTTACAAATTATCTCACGTGCCTTGGTGTCCAATTGTCCATATGTCCGCTCCCTGGTGATAAGTTTCACCTCTGTCTCCGTGATGCGAGGATGGTCCCTCGGGGAGTCGGAAACAAACAGCACCCAGGGAAACACACACATGAGTGTGAAACCACCTTCAAGCGAAGTGCAGATTTAACCACGATGCACACTTATATAGATCATCTAAATACAGCACAGAGACCATCACTGGCTACCCGTGGCTACCCGTGAAGCGGTAAACGTCTGAGATCTGCATCAATTTGGGCTTTCCTCGAACATTAAACTGACACGCCGTGATATAACTGGAATACTGTTAAAAGTGGCGTTAAACCCAACTCACTCACTCACCCACACAATTACTGGCGGTGACATTTAGATGTAGCTCACCTAGCTTAAACCAAAACTTTCATTCCTCCGTCTGTGCGTTCTTTTTGTCTTTAACTTTCTTATTCTATCCCATGAAAGGTCAGCAAAGGTGTCTCAAATATATACTCATAGAATAACGATTCGATTTTGAACAAGTCCACACTGAATATCATTTGTGCCCAGTACACGGCCATTCCTGCATATATCATTGTGAGATTTGATATGTAATATGTGATATGCGGAAGAGGAGCAACAGAATGCTGTGGACCCAGGTCTCTATGGAGTGATCACAAAGTATTTCAGTTTAAGGAGTTTGCCCCAATGTAAAATTACCAAACACGTAGAAGATGAGAGGCCATCCGTTATCCAGGGAGACGCCGCCCAAATATCCCGAGATGAAGAACGTCAAAATTCCGGCAATGCTTAAACCTGCACAAGCAAGGTGTCAGCGTGTCACATGTTTAAAGGAACTATCGTGAACTTGCTATGGTTTCCTTGGTGTCTGACCGGTCACATACCGTAGAAAGTCGGCCCGTTTCGTAAAATCTGAAGAGCATTAAGTTCATTCAAGACGCCAGGCTCGCAGTAAGCACTTGCAAGACGTATCACATACTGGAATAAGCATATGCCAATCGTACAGTACACATGCCAGTTGGAGTAAGCACGAATTAGAGCTATCACATACTGGAGTAAGCACATGCCAGTCGGACAGTACTCACACATTTGGAGTAAGCACACAATGGTGTTATCACATATTAGAGAAAGCACATGCCAGTTGGAGTAAGCACACAACAAAATTATCACATATTTGAGTAAGTACATGCTAGACGAACAAGTTGCACACAGTTGGAGTAAGCACACAATAGAGTTATCACATATTAGAGTAAGCACATACCAGTTGGAGTAAGCACACAATAAACTCTTCACATGTTGGAGTAAGCACATGCCAGTTGGAGTAAACACACAATAAACTTTTCACATGTTTGAGTAAGCACATACCAGTTGGAGAAAGCACACCATAGAGTTATCACATACCGGCATAAGAACATGATGTGAGGGACGCCTTCTCATGTTCTGGTGCCCACTCTGCCCAGAGTGCCATGATTGCTGGCTCCACCGTCCCCTGGACAGACAGACAGACAATTTATTCAATAAAAGGCCACTGGCCCAAAATACAGACATATGCAGGAATACATAAAGCCTGCGCAAAATGACATATTTACAAACTGGAAAAAATAACCATTATTTACATTTTTTAAATACTTATTCGTAGTGGATTATTTACTATTTACCCTAAGTTGATGAGCTTTGGTAAGAAAAATAGATATTTTATATAAGGTATCATATGCATCTGAGGAAATAACAGAGATAAAGTTATGCTGAAGGTTAAAGGTAATATTTTTATCTAAAAGTGCATTACGAAGGGAGCTGTAGGATTCGCAAATTAATAAACCATGATATTCATTTTCAATAAAGTACTTATTTTTAGATAGACACAGGTTTATATAAACACGTACTTCTTTGATATCCATTCTAAACGGTGCAATGTGGAGGTATGAAGGGGTATTGTTATAAGGTGAAAATGTTTCCCAACACCTTAGACAATGATAACAAATTCATCAGTTACAACATCGATAACTTTGGTCAGTGTTTAATAATTGCTCCAATGCTGCCATTCAATAAATCAGCAGGGACAGAACACATTAGTGGGGGTTGCTTCGATGCTGCAGTTGCGTGTGGATAAACCTCTCTAATATACAGGTATATAAATTAGCAAGACTTATGTGAGGTGAGGTGAGGTGAGGTGAGGTGAGGTGAGGTGAGGTGAAATTTGGTTTAACGTCGCGTCCAAGATTATTGAACTTATATAGCGACGTGCATTCATGTGTGTGTGTGTGTGTGGCTGCTTGTACTAGAACGGACTGATGCCGATTTATAGTGCTAGCCCACTACCATGCCGCAGTTTAACATGAATACCCCACTCAGACACAGTATACTGACTCCGAGCCGACCAGTCCTTGTTTTAGCCCCTCAATGCCGAGCGCCAGACAGGGTAACAACAAGTACCATCTTTTAACGTCATTTGGTATGACGCTTTCGGGGATCGAACCCCGGACCTTCCGCTCTCCGGGCGGACGCTCTACCACTAGACCACGGAGGCGGTCTAGCAAGACTTATGAGATACAGAACACATACGTCATGAGATATATAATATATGTATGATGATTAAGGGAATCACATATCGGTGAATCACCGGTATGTTTCAGTTATTTGCCATCATGATACATTCGCGTGTTCATGATCTGGAAGGTGACATGCCACGAAAACGTGTCAGGTTCGAACACCTTACAAGGATACCTTCAACGCTAGCAAACACCGCGGTTTTGAAAGTCAGCAGATCGCCTTGAAGCTCGTTCGAGTTTCCCACTGTGTGACGAGCCTGTCCTGTCTGGTCCTGTCCAAGTAGTTGGGGGGCACGGGTGGCCCAGTCGTCTAAGGCGCCGCGATTCGCTGTGCAGAGTTGCGTCCCTTGGGCACGCCAGAAACCTATGATTGCGGATTCGAATCCCGGTTCGCCCCGATTATGTTTCTAGGTTTGTCAGCATCATACCCGTGTTCGTGAGTTTCACCGAAGTGGTAAACGTCTGAGACCTGCATCACTTCGGGCTTTCCTCCCACATTAAGCTGACACGCCGTGATATAACTGGAATATTGTTAAAATCGGCGTTACACTAAACTCACTCACTCACTCCAGGTAGTTGGCCTGAAGAACTTAGGCGAGTATCAAACTTTGTGTTGTGTTAATCCTTGTAGGTGTGTGTGCTGTTACGTGAATGCGTATGGAGATAGTTAGTAGTAATGGTCATCAGCCCCCTCCTTGACTCAGACACTCTCTCCTGGCCTGTCATGGCTTAACTGACCATGACGACACAGAACGGTAATACACAAATTAAGGTAACTGTTATGACAATATACCCTCTGCTATGGCAATATACCCTCAAGATGCGTTTTAGTACTACATGCATTTATCACTTATCAGAAACTTGAGTTATCATTACCATAAATATGCCAACGATGGCACGAAGAATCACCAGAGAGATCGGCAGTGCACGTGCAGCCTCTGGCGTTGCTATGGTGACAGTCGATGCAACGACAAGGGAAACAGTTATGACAATCTTTCCGCCATATTTCCCAGCAATATAGCCACCGATGATGGGCGTTCCTAGGAAACCAAATGTGAAGGCGGACAGAATCAAACCCTCAAATTTTGAAGTCCAGGTGAATTCTGAGGTCTGCAAAGTCAGAACGGTTGTTCAAGAGTTAATGAGGACAGTGTGATAGTTACAATTGTCAATGACAATAATCAACTAGAATGACGTTATAGTCACATACATAATTGTTTTGAATGGGTCAGGCTTTTTTTACGGAATGCATTTAACTTTCGAACAAGGTTTGGAAATGATAAAATGCGTTATGGTGTTGCATTGACCTCATTCATAACAATTGATCAATTTTCCTTTGACAACAGACACCAAAGTACTTTTCATGAAGTCATTGTGGCCCAAACAAAACTGTACAACTCGTAATTCTAGCAAACAGGGCGCAAACATCCTTGATAGTGATATGGGCGATATGGTCAGCACACGTGTGTCATGTATCCAAATCTATTCAAACACAAAGTAATAACTTGATGACGTTTTGTTACATTTTGTCTCAATTAGAAAGTCACACCTCAGATGTGATTTTCCTCCCAAACTGTTCTACATTTCTTTTTGGGGAAACATAACCAGAGTTCGTACTGAAAAAACTGAAAATCATTTGCAAGCTTTTAAGTCCAGTCTTCAAGCTAATAAACACTGTGCTATGCTAAGACATTATTACACCGAAGACAATGAAGGGAGTTTTACGTTGTGTGCTAATATCATGAGTAACAATTTCTGGCATGTAAGTATAATGTGATAAAGTGATGTCAAGTAGCCCAAAGCATGGCATAGGATGAAGTCGGATTTCTTTGCTGTGTTTGGAAACTCTCCATGTTTCAGGACACAAGGTGTGTCTCCATATTCATCAATATTCCAGTTCCACGACGGCCACCTGTGACTGATTCAGTTTAGATCAGACACAACAGTAATTGATATAATAAGTACGGATCGAAACCAACAAACCAAGACCACCCTCGCCTCTTACGAGAGTATAGGTTTCTGGCCATTAATTCTAAAAATACCGGAAAGGCAACGCTGTAGCAAATATGCTATTTTTGTCCTATGTGCTGTGTGTCCCAGTTTTCTTTCAGCGGAAATCATGCTGCCACACGTTTGTGGGATTCGAATCGGCATGTTTTTTTCAAATTTCTTTTGTCTTTCTTTGAAATCATAATGATGCGATTTTCAATTTCCTATTCTCGGTCTTTAGACAATAATATCATGTAGGTATTTTTATTGATAGAAAACCTCAGCCATTCTATGAGCTCTTCGTGTAAACTCTGAAAATAACCGTGCAATGTCAAATCGACAATACTCGAGAGTGACCATCTGTTTCAAGCGTCCTTATTAGTTCTTCCCAATTTCAATGACGGTTACAGCGTGATCCATTATATCTTTTATTCTGCATAACCAACTTGATATGGAATGTTATAAAGTACTTACCCTCACAGCGTTGTCATGCGCAGGTGACATTGACGTCACTTCCGGTACTGAAAGAGGCATGACCATGGCAACAACAGCCATGCCCATACACTGTCGTAGCGCTGTCTGTGCCATGTATACTGAACAACACAAGTAACCAGTCACCCATCGCCATGAGGTGTACTTCCCGCAACAAGTCTCAAGATTCGTATATTCGCTAGGTCCACTGTCTGAGGGCGAAAGTTGAGTGAGTGAGTGAGTTAGGTTTTTAACGCCGCTTTTAATATTATTTTCAGTTATATCGCGGCGTGTCAGCTTAATGTGGGAGGAAAGCCCGAAGTGATGCTGGTCTCAGACGTTTACCACTTCTGTGAAACCCACGAGCACGGGTATGGTGCTGACAAACCTAGAAACATAATCGGGGCGAACCGGGGTTCGAACCCACAATCATAGGTTTCTAGCGTGCCCAAGGGACGCAACTCTGCACAGCGAATCGCGGCGCCTTAGACGACTGGGCCACCTGTGCCCCCCGTTTCTCGATGGAGACTCTTAAGCATTTCTCTCATGTTAAGTCCCTTGTCTATGTTAAATTGTAATCGCAAAAGAATGAGAATATGTTATCAGTATTACTTACCTTTAAACCCACGCACTGGAGTTGTTTCCGTCGCCATGGTGTAAACAGCTGTAAAAAGTGTTGATAACAGTCTGAGAAACGATATTCGTACCTTCGCGTGTTTCACCTTTTCGCATACAATCGTGGGAACAAATTGATATCAATTCTCTCTCAAAAGCTATGTCTGACATAATACGATGGTTGTTTACAGTCGGAATCGTACAATTGACTATTCTTTTAGTAGAGCTTTCTTTTTATTATGGAAATGTTTTTGTCACTTTTTATTGTTTTTTAGTGTTAAATTTTCAATATCGAATATATCCTCTGCAAAATGCAGAAACTCAAAAGTAGTAAAATCGTAAATGTCTGACAGAGGGTTGTTTAATACAAGATTAATATAAAAATCAATTCGTCATTTCTGCATTGATTGGGATTGACTTGTGTGGAAGAAATGAGGTATTTGGGGGAACGATGGAAAAACAACCACTTTGATGGGAGCCTGCAACATCACTTGTTAGAGTGTTAATAACGTTGGGTTTTAATTCACAATCTTACAGCAAGTAAACCGCGAAAACAGGCCTGCTGACGGAGACCCAACGCAACAACGCCATCGGCCGACTGCATGAATGCGAATCCTCTTCAACGTTTTTCCCTTGAGCACCAAGCATCATTACAAGACTACAATCTCATTAAAATCAGATCTTAGTTCTCGCTATAGCCAAACAAAGATCTGATCATGAGAACATCCCATCATGGGTCACTTCAGAACGACCTTTCATCCGACCAATTCAAGCGTCGCTTACCAGATCATGAAAGTGACAATCAGAATGAGTTTTCTTATCATGCAACCTCGAAAACGTTAACACGGGGTATTCCGAACGACAGTTACGGCCCGTACGACTGATTCCGTCAAAATTATCGTCTCTCGTTTGCGTGGGATAAACATTTGAACGGGGGAGGCGTTGCACAGAACGTGCGAAGCATTGCCATACAATCGCAACGATATATAAGACATTCCGGAATGTTCTTTTGTTCAGTTTTCAAAATTGTAATCGAGAACTGTGTCAACATATTTTTCAAGAGTAGTCTGAAATGGAAGTCGCCAGGTCGGAACGAGTGCTGTAAAGTTCGAGAAAACTGCTTTCTAATTGGCTGATGTCGACTTCTTGTCACCGTTTCAGTGGGAGGTCAAGGTTCGCGAAAGGTCGTTCTGACTTGACCCGTAATGGGATGTCCTCAGATCTTTGTTTAGCGGCAGCGAGAACTTAGATCTGATTTAAGTGAGATTGTACGAGACTGTGTACCCGTTATCAGACACACGGGACTACATGTGACCTTTCCAGATCCAGTCGACCACGTAAAACTACGGTCATTTCTATATGATATCAGTCCAAACGCGTTGAAGATATTCGCGGTAGACGGCCAGTTCAAGGGGTCATTTTGACGTACATTCATCGTCGGCTGCGACGTCAATGGTGTTTAGTTCACAGATTATGGCTACAACTGCGATGGTGTTTGGTTTTGTGATGAGTCACATTTTATACATCGCCGTGCGGATGGTAGCCGTCGTGTTTACAGGCGTGGCAGGGAACGTTATGCCCAAAACTGCATACAGGAAGTGGATAGATTTGGTGGTGGTAGTGTGATGATGTGGGCAGCCATCTCCTACACGGGTAGAACGGACTTGGTGCAAGTTCAAGGAAATTTAACGGCACAACATTACACGGATGGGATTCTTCTGCCACACACACTTCCCATTATGCAACAAGCAAACGTCAGTTTCCAACAAGACACCACCCTACCTCACACGGCAAGACATCATTATTCAATTAATTAGTTAAAATTATTTATCATCCAAAACAGGCTCCCACAGGAGATATCGCTTGGGTGAGATCAAGCGATATCTATACTGTAGATATCGCTGCAATGAAATTGCATCACAATGCTTTGCAGACCATTGTGACGTCATTGGTTATGTCACAATCAAATGACATCACTAATGGCTATGCTACTGAAGCTGTTAGTAGAACTTTTTACACTTAAGACACTGCTTATTACTTTCTACAAACTGAAAAAGTTGGAAGAATGATGTTGGATAATAAATAAAATCTCACCCTCGTGTCTTTTGATAAAATTATCAAATATATCAACACTCGTTGATAAAAGTGGAAAGAAATCCTCGGCAAGCCTCGGAGTTTTCCCACTATTATCAACGAGTGTTGATATATTTGATATCAAAAGACACGAGGGTGAGATTCTCTATATTGTTACCGTCGCAAAATATCTGGAGACTTCCGCCCACCTTTCGCTCACTATATGATTATTACAACCCTTTTGATATATTATCTCCCAGCACTTGCCAAATGTGCGAAGCCATCAGTGCTAGAAGCGGTCGTAAACGCCTAGAACTTGATAGGGTCATGTGTTGATATAAGTGTTGGGTTTGTCTTTTCCATTGAATAGCTCAAGCATTTTCTAGAATCTACGCACTTGATGATTTGGGCTGTGCACACTTTAGTCTTGAGTTTATGTTATGTTGGGGTTGTTTGTGAGGATGTTTTCAAGTCATCGTATCCTGCTGACTTTGGCCGTTGATTGAGCATTAACTGGCTTCCCTGACATAGACAGAATACAGTGAGTGAGAGAGTGAGTGAGTATGGTTTTGCGCCGCTTTTAGTAATATTCCAGCAATATCACGGCGGGGGACACCAGAAATGGGCTTCACACATTGTACCCATGTCGGGAATCGAACCCGTGACGAGCGAACGTTTTAACCACAAGGCTACCTGGCCGCCCCCAGAATAGAGTGCCGACATTCACTTATTAATTATATAATTAATATATAATAGTAAAAAGTAAAGGCTAGTCCATTGTTCACCTGAAGCAGATCATCTTGTTTGTCCGATATTTCTTTCACGAAGGATATCAGCGCATAACAGAATGTGGTTTCTATCATTCCACGTGCATGGAGACCAATAAACATGTTTGCCTCCAGTTAGGGTCTGGTCAGTTATTATAGGGAGGGCGGGATGAGATTCGAGGCGGGGGTGGGGGGTAGGTGGGGGGTGGTAGGGGATGAACAAGTAACAGCGAAAGAAGAGGGGTCGCAAAAATTTATCACAACTATAAAGTTTGCCCATGATAAATGACAGTTCTATTTCTTCATATATCTTTTCTTAACTTTGAACATTATCTAGGGACTGCTCATATACATCGGCAAAAGTCCCTGATGCGTATTTGTTGTGCGTGTGTACATCATGTCATTGTTTCCATCAGTTGTTATTGCCTCATGTGTATGTTCTGTTTGAAGCAATGTTCATGGTAATAAGCAGTCGTTGTTTTATTTGTTTGAGCGGCAGAAAAGCTGGTTGTAACTATTGGTTGTAACTATTGGTTGTAACTATTGGTTGTAACTAGTGGTTGTATCTATTGGATGTAACTATTGGATGTAACTATTAGATGTAACTATTGGTTTTAACTATTGGTTGTAACTATTGGTTGTATCTATTGGATGTAACTATTGGTTGTATCTATTGGTTGTAACTATTGGTTGTAACTATTGGTTGTAACTATTGGTTGTAACTAGGTTGTAACTATTGGTTGTAACTATTGGATGTAACTATTGGATGTAACTATTGGTTGTATCTATTGGTTGTAACTATTGGTTGTAACTATTGGTTGTATCTATTGGTTGTAACTATTGGTTGTAACTATTGGTTGTATCTATTGGATGTAACTATTGGTTGTATATATTGGTTGTAACTATTGGTTGTAACTATTGGTTGTAACTATTAGTTGTAACTATTGGTTGTAACTAGGTTGTAACTATTGGTTGTAACTATTGGATGTAACTATTGGATGTAACTATTGGATGAAACTATTGGTTGTAACTATTGGTTGTAACTATTGGATGTATCTATTGGATGTAACTATTGGTTGTATCTATTGGTTGTAACTATTGGTTGTAACTATTGGTTGTATCTATTGGATGTAACTATTGGTTGTAACTATTGGTTGTAACTATTGGTTGTAACTATTGATGTGAACAAGGGACTCAGCATGTGTGACCGTTTTGTTTGATGCAAAGATTGATTATAACAATAACCTTTGTTTTCTACAGCGCGTGATGGGCGGCGTGAACCTGTGGCTTTGGGGACATGTTTAGTAGTGTGTAAGGACACTGGGTGCAATAAAACGTTCAACGGTATGGATATTATGGATAAGCACTGAAACATTTGTCAGGCAAACATCTCTTACATTTCATGACAGTGACAGGTGCTACACGTAGGCAGGACATGTTTACCCTTTTGCCGAACACCTGGTGCAATAACAGATTTTCCATTCATATAATTATCACTGCCAGTGTGCCTTTTACCCCCGATGGATATGTTTCGGCAGATAATCGAGACTTGTTTTTCTTTGGCGTGACGTTTTGATTTAAACAGTATTTTATTTCCATTAATGTTCAGATTTTACATTACATAACGTTACAAAATGGAAAAAGGATTAGCAAACAGGCCAAAAAGGCATATTTTAATGCTTCTCCTAATATTGTACATCATACATGTAGATTGTAATGAAGTCTATAGAGCAGACATTAATGAGTAACACAAAATGAAATAAAATGGAAAGCAAGATACCAAATGCATTTTATATTCTTAAGTTGACACATAACTTACGTAAAGCGGTTTGTTTCAATGATGTAATTGTGAACTGATTTTATAATGTGTTCATTGTCTGAGGGAGATGAATCTGCATTGCCGTGGAGTATAGTATGTATGCTGAGCTGGTTAACAAAAAGTATTTATCAATTCTAAACTTGGCATAGCGTGGACAAGATAGAATAAAAGTGGAAAGCATCTTCTCTATTTAGGCCACATGAACAGACGACGTTTTAACGATACATGGTAAGTATCTAATTACTATACGTGTCCTATTCCTCACTTTGCTTTGTGATGTATCGAAATAAGTATGATACCATCTGCTGTTTGATATGTTTTAGTAAGGCAGACATATGAGGTTGTTTGTTTGATGACGTAGATGAATGATGATGTTTTTTAAACTTGTTTTGGAGTCTGCTGTGGTATTGTTGTAATTGGGCGGTCGGGTAGCCTAGGGGTTAAAGCGTTCGCTCGTCACGCCGAAGACCCGGGTTCGATTCCCGACATGGGTACAATGTGTGAAGCCCATTTCTGGTGTCTGCCGCCGTGATATTGCTGGAATATTGCTAAAAGCGGCGTCAAAGCATACTTACTCACTCACTCACTATTGTTGTAATTGTAAATAAAAGCGACAAAATCCTTTCCATATAATAAGAACTATCTGTTAAAAGCAGACCCGACTGTACGATAGCGGCTATATCATAAGCGTATGTTTATAAATCATACGAGGTGCTCGCTAAGAGGTCAATTGATCACCTGACAATACACTGGAACAGTTTTGAAATAATGAAGGATTTTTGCCTTTCCTGTCAAATAACTGTTTAAATAAATGTTTATCTCGTCGAGTGGCCAGCAAAGTTGACATGTTACCGAGTCGCGCAACCACGAGTGAATCACTTAACGTTGCATGTCACGCGATAAGATAACATGTTATTGGACAGGAAAAAGTCAAATGTTCTATCTATTTGGTATTTTCTTGCATGATTTTCCTGATCTCTAACTCTGATACAATAATATAATTAAAGACTGAAAGTAGTTCCATCTTTAACTGTTATTTCACTCGAATTAATATAGATTACATACGCGCTTGTTGTTATTGAATTTGGATTATGGCGGGTTAATGGCGATAAGAATGATGTTATAATTTCTTCGTAGTGATATGCTAAAGCGCTTTCCAAGTGTCTATATTTCGCCGAAAAACGTCGAAACGTGATATCGGAATTGTCTCAAGACAAGCGTCGGACAAAAAATCCATAATCATGATAATAAAAGTGACAAAAGTAAAAGACATATCTCGGAAAATCAGAGTGTATTTTCATCTTTTATTATACATGTTGGGATCCGATCATTTGCTATCTTGGAACAATGCATTTTATTGAGGCTGACAATTATTTTGTTTCAAGAGTCTGAAGCATTATTTCTTCAAGCATTTTCTGGGACATTTTTTTATATTACATGGTCGACAAAATTCTGAATGTATAATGAATCGTCACGTTTTCCGTTTATAGGTTTCTTTTAACATAATTATTTTTTGTCATCAGTATAGAAAAAAACACTTTAACTGTACTTACCTGTAGAACTGACCGTTAAACGGAGAAGCAAAAACACATCCAGATCCGACACACTGACATCAATATTCAAATACTTTTGATGTCGATCATTGCATTTCACTTGTTTCTGAACAAGTCTACGTGTTCCTATTTTTGCATTTCATTATATACACACACAAATCAATGAATTACTATCTTAATATCAATAGCTGTGTTGGCGTACCATCTGTTAGGGGAGCTGTCTAATTATAAGCCAGAGAAACAGAATACTACACTGTATGACCTTTAGGTAGTGATGGAATGTAAAACTTTATTAATAAAACAGGCTCCATTATGTTTATTGCGAAGTCAGGACAACAAGAATTCTTTCGTTTGAAATTACGTATGTTTCCCTTATAGTTTAGATACTGGATGTGTAACACCTTGTTCTATTACTTTTCTATTTATGTCTATATTTTATCTTTATGTTACCCGCCCTATCAAGAATGAAACTACAACAAGTATTACAGTCGAAATGTGATGGTTCGTGAAAAGTGTATCGTTATTACTTTAGAAACACACTTTATTGCACTCATAATTACTAAAAACTAGGGGGAACGGGTGGCCCAGTCGTCTAAGGCGCCGCGATTCGCTGTGCAGAGTTGCGTCCCTCGGGCACGCCAGAAACCTATGATTGTGGGTTCGAATCCCGGTTCGCCCCAATTATGATTCTAGGTTTGTCAGCACCATACCCGTGCTCGTGGATTTCACCGAAGTGGTAAACGTCTTAGACCTGCATCACTTCGGCCTTTCCTCCCACATTAAGCTGACACACCGCGATATGACTGGAATACTGTTAAAAGCGGCGTTAAACCCAACTCACTCACTCACTACTAAAAACTAACACTTTATTACTGTTAGGCCGTTTATAAATTTGTCAATCCTGAAGACGAATACGCCTGTTAATTCAATTTCAGTCATCACATTTTCATTTAGGTGAGGTGAGGTGAAATTAGGTTAACGTCGCGTCCAAGATTATTGCACTTGTATAGCGACATGCATGTACGTGTGTGTGTGTATAGCTGCTTGTACTAGTCCGGACTGATGCCGATTTATAGTGCTAGCTCACTGAGATACCATGCCGCAGTTTAACATGAATACCCCCATTCACACTGTATACTGTCTCCGAGCCGACCAGTCCTTGTTTTAGCCCCTTAATGCCGAGCGCCAGACAGGGTTACAACAAGTACCATCCAAGCTCATACGACGGTGGACGTGGCTATATTTTTACTTCCATTGGGAAATGAATGCCATAACACGTGACCAATTCAGCTAATCAGAATGAAGGAATTATAATAAACACAGCGAAAATTTAATATATTAATTTGATAAACACACCTGAGCTTATAGTGAAACTCGGGGACTTCGGATCATCAGCAGGGACATCGACCCAGTTCAAGTAAATATATAACGTCTACGCCGAAAAACAATGTCTTGGAGCTGACCAGGGTGTCATCCAGTAAAAATAAAGTAATAATGGAAAACGTGGTCAAAGTTGACGGTTTCATTATCATCAGCTTATTAACTATATATCGACCGCCTCCGTGATCGAGTGGTAGAACGTCCGCCCAGAGAATGGAAGGTCCGGGGTTCGATCCCCGGCCGCGACATACATGTAGATGGTACTTGTTGTTACCCTGTCTGGCGCTCGGCATTAAGGGGCTAAAACAAAGACTGGTCGGCTCGGAGTCAGTATACTGTGTCTAAGTGGGGTATTCATGTTAAACTGCGGCATGGTATCTCAGTGAGCTGGCAGTATAAATCGTCATCAGTCCGGACTAGTACAAGCAGCCACACAAATTAGCAAAAGTAATTAAGCATTAAGGATCTGACAGACACTTTTGACGTTCAATCTGTAGTCTGTAGGTTTGTTCATAGGGACAGGACGTCGATCTTTCTGAAGCATTGTTTTCACAAAACAGCCGATAATCCCTAAGCTTACTCTGCCCCATTCGCCTTATTCAAAAACAAATCCGCGAGTAGTTTCAGGTCTAGTGACCAACTGCGAGAGTAGGCTTCTTTCTCGGATATACCTCTGCCTTCTGGCTTCAAACGACCGAAGCATTTATTTTGTAATCTAGCCTTACATACATTTATCCACACGCAAGCACACACATAAATACACATACATAATTTACATACATTTAATCATACATACAGCCATACATACCATGCATACACACAGCCATGTAATCATACGTACATACTGAATTGGAAGCGTGTGTATTGATCTGTTGTCTTAATCACTGACCCATCAAGAGTGTTAGTCGGCATGTATCAAATCTTTATAACCGGTGAGATTGTGATAACTGTCACACCTGACTTATTTGTCTGAATGACACGTCTGAAAACAAGGGGTGAACCGTTACACACTAACTCGGGGTAACGATTTTCTGTGCTATAGAATCAAAGTACCGTTGTGCTGCATGTGTATGGAGTACATATATCTCACGATGATGTGTCATTCCTTAATCAGTACGATGTATGGCATAAGTATATACACTTAAAAGTAAACACATGTTAACGATAATAATGACAGAGAGATAAATAAACGCAGGTCGGGTAAGTACTATTACCTTGGTTAATTATAAGTTGCCATTTTTTAAACAGTTTTTCATAAGATGAAAGAAATGATGGTGCAGAAAAAGACTAGCAATTAACACTATAACCGTGATGCAATCGCGTTACTTAATACAATCAACAAAGAACAATATATAGGGCGCTTTTTTACTATTTATTCGTTATATGATATCAATAATTCAGTTATGGATACTAAAGAATGAATTTATATCACACATTTGACCTTGTTTTATCATGAAATGTTTATTAATATGGCAAATCTGTTTTTAGATATCAATAACTGAGTTTATTATCAAATAATGTACTTTATCATCTAAAAAATCAAATATAGTTTTGTATCTATAGCCTTCATCTCCGTGAACTTTATGCCCGTTTTTTAATAATTCGTGAAGATAGGTACAGTATCGTAACATTTGCATATATATAGTCCTATTCAGATGATGTCTCTACATATATGTAAGGGCAAGCTTCTTCCTTTTGTTTGTCAGCAGCTTTCCTCCTGGCTATGGATGTGGAACACAGGCTTTAGGGTTACATATGAATCTTGTTATCATTGTATTTTAATGCGATTTGAATATTATTATTTATTATCATACTTACTTCATGTTTTAAATGAGACGTTTTATATTTATATGTCATCACAAATTACAATTATCTCTTGTAAGCTCAACGCAATTGACAAATACTCTATATGACTAGTAAACCATTCATGTACGTTGAAAAATATATATTGTAAATGTCAGAATGATGTATCTAGGATCAAGTAGAAGATATATGGACAGCAGCGCTGGTACTTTATTCAACAAGCCCGTAAAAAGAACACTGATTTAGCTCAATGTTTACCAATCCTGGCGGCCATTATGCAACGGCCATCTTACGCACAACCCCGCGCTCACGTCTACAGGTCTTTTTCTGTGGTACGGTCAATTAGTAGAACCCTCTCCCTCAAGTGTATCCTCCATGATATAACCTACTCTCATTAATTAAACGCTGCCCTTTCCCAGCGTCACGGCTATGGAGCTGAGACAAAGAGACCCAACCATCATAAAGTAATTAGGGTCCAATAAAAACAATGCTCCACCAAACCTCATAAACATGATCACCGAAAGTCGTACTACAGACGTTTAATGTCAAATCACAAAAAAAGCATTTGAATAGCAATAACATTTAACAGGATTCTCTTAACACCATCGCAAAACATCATGTAGAAGCCACAACAGTACTCATATTTTCCAACAAAATCACATCTAAAAATGAGACATCAGCAAGTACATATAATAAAATATGTATTAACATTTTTCGTCAGGAAATCAAAAGGTTATCTCCTTGTTACCAACTCCAGGTTCAGCTAAACATGGGTCTTCCTTTGGTCAAAAGTTTGTTCCCCCTCTAATGAGTGTGTCACGCGTGGCGGACGGGTTCCACACGAGTGACCAACGGGCATGCACACGGGTTGCGTAACGCGTTGCCCATGCGTGTAAGGGGAATGAACTTCTAGGCAGTAGTCTACGTGTGAGTGTACCATCTATTATAGTGCTAGCTCACTGAGGTACCATGCCGCAGTTTAACATGAATACCCCCACTCAGACACAGTATACTGACTCCGAGCCGACCAGTTCTTGTTTTAGCCCCTTAATGCCGAGCGCCAGACAGGGTAACAACAAGTACCATCTTTTAACGTCTTTTGGTATGACGCGGCTGGGGATCGAATCCCGGACCTTCCGCTCTCCGGGCGGACGCTCTACCACTAGACCACGGAGGCGGTCTTTTCATTTAGGAATAGGAATACACACTGTGGCGTGTCATGAATCAGGTGATTGCTTAATTTATGCACATAACTTGGCCCCCAAAGTCAGTAACCAGTTAACAGAGGGTAGGATGAAAACAAAGTTCATACGACGGTGGACGTGGCTATATTTTTACATCCATTGGGAAATGAATGCCATAACACGTGACCAATTCAGCTAATCAGAATGCAAGAATAATAATAAACACAACGAAAATTTAATATATTAATTTGATAAACACACCTGAGCTTATAGTGAAACTCGGGAACTTCGGATCATCAGCAGGGACATCGACCAAGTTCAAGTAAATATATAACGTCTACGCCGGAAAACAATGTCTTGGAGCTGACCAGGGTGTCATCCAGTAAAAATAAAGTAATAATGGAAAACGTGGTCAAAGTTGACGGTTTCATTATCATCAGCTTATTAACTATATATCGACCGCCTCCGTGATCGAGTGGTAGAACGTCCCCCCAGAGAGTGGAAGGTCCGGGGTTCGATCCCCGACCGCGACATAGATGGAACTTGTTGTTACCCTGTCTGGCGCTCGGCATTAAGGGGCTAAAACAAAGACTGGTTTGCTCGGAGTCAGTATACTGTGTCTAAGTGGGGTATTCATGTTAAACTGCGGCATGGTATCTCAGTGAGCTGGCAGTATAAATCGTCATCAGTCCGGACTAGTACAAGCAGCCACACACACACACACACACACACGTAC